TAGGGGTGTAACGGTAAGCTAAAATGACATTTCGGTTCGGTTCAGTTTCAAGGAGGGTTCGGTTAATTTTCGGTACAAAAAAGGCCAAAATAAAGATTTACAAAATGTTTATTTAGAAAATATGCCAAGTGAACAAGTTCAGTCTTTACAGACAGAGGTGATCTGGTGGATGAAGAAGACTCAGCTGCTGTCATCCTCAGACTGCAAACAACACAGAGATTTTAAAAAAAGTGTTACTAAGATTATAAGTTTAAAGTAAATTAAATTACAATAATACAATAACAATACCTCTTCTTACACGCTCATCATATGAGGTGGGTGAACATTCTCTCTCCCTCATCATCATCGATGTGGCAGGACTTTAATCTGGTCCAGGGCTTGATGACGATCAGTTTTATGTTTTTCATAAAGTGCTGCTACAACTTTTTGGCTGAAGTGTTGACGTGATGTCGTAGCGGGGCTCAAGAACTTTAAAGGCGGCGCATCAACAACATTCAGACGTAGATCCAGAGCTTTAAAAACTCCTACAGCTTGTTGTTGCTCTGGACCGACCTGAATGACCTGATGAAGGTTGTTTAAAGGCTGCTGCTATCTTTACAACAAACTACGTTCACGTTCGGATGATGTCGTTTCAGGAACGTTAACGAGTTCCACGTGTTGCTGCTGCAGATCCAATCTCCGTGAAACAACGTCTTTTAACTAGAAAGACATAATGTTCCCAACAGGAGACCACAACGACATGCTAGGCTGCTAACGCCGCACGTGCTGCAAGATAAAAGCACCGTGCTGAAACACGCTTAGGAACTTTAGTTCCGCGGTGCATAATCTGTCGTGAATAAAATTTAATGAGTGAAAAAAAACCTGAAACGGTTCAATTCACCCACGTGTACCGTTACACCACTAGCTAGCAGGTTAGAGGCGTCTCCCCATCCTCGTCCACAAAAATCCTCAAGAGATGAGCGCCCTGCCGAGTGACCTCGAGAAGAAACACTGCACAAGTTGTTGTAGGTAACCATCTAAATGTGTGTGTGTGTGTGTGGGTGTGTGTGTGTGTGTGGGGGGGGGGGGGGGCCCCAAATGAATTTTTTCTAAATGTGGGGGGGGGATACGTCTCCTTCATAGATGAGACATCTGTTGAGTGAAGGGAGAATAAAACTGATGAAATGAGCTCGAACCTACGGAGCTGCAGGACCTGACTGACCCCGACATAAACAGTCTAGTCGGGTGGTGATGAAGGCCTGGACTATTGTCTCCATGTCAGGTCAGGTCAGGTCAGGTCAGGTCAGGTCAGGTCTGGTCAGATCAGGTCTGGTCCGGTCAGGTCAGGTCAGGTCTGGTCAGATCAGGTCAGGTCTGGTCAGGTCTGGTCAGGTCAGGTCAGGTCAGGTCAGGTCTGGTCAGGTCTGGTCAGATCAGGTCTGGTCCGGTCTGGTCAGATCAGGTCAGGTCTGGTCAGGTCAGGTCAGGTCAGGTCTGGTCAGATCAGGTCAGATCAGGTCTGGTCTGGTCAGGTCAGATCAGGTCTGGTCTGGTCAGATCAGGTCTGGTCTGGTCAGATCAGGCCAGGTCAGATCTGGTCAGATCAGGTCTGGTCAGGTCAGATCAGGTCTGGTCAGGTCTGCACTGACTTCAGGTCAGCTATGTGTTTTAACAGGAAGCAGCTCTCCTGCAGGTCAGAGTTCTTGGTTTATTAAACTTGAATCATCTCCAGACTCATGACAGACTGCAGAAGATACGGGGCCACGGTCTACAGGAGGGCTGACCTGGAGGAGGACACCTCAGTCTGTCAATCATCAGCCCCAAAGTGACGTAATTCGCTGCCAGGACCAGGAGGCGTGGCTTATTCACCAAAACAGGAAGTGCTTCACTCAGATGGGCCTCCAGGGTTCTGAAACACGAGTCCTTCCTGCAAAGAGACAGAAAGAGTGACGCCTGACTGACGTCAGAATCGGAGCAGAACAGTACCTGGACCCGTCAGCACCGACCTGACTCTCTCTGGCTCTGTGATGGTGAAGTTGAGGAGGGCGGAGCATGCAGTCTCCATGCTGGGGTCTCTGGTGGATGCAGTGTGGCTCCGCCCCTTCACAGAGGTCCAAGTCTGCAGCAGGAAGTCCACCAGCAGTGCCGGAGAGTCCTGGGTGAGCAGAACTTTTCTGGGTCCTTCTTCAGCTGACAGGTGACACAGAGCTGGGAGGAGATACCTGCAGAGGGGGCGGAACTTGCTGTTACACCTGCCCTGAAACCTCCCGTTCTCGCTCAGGTGTTTCTGTCTTTACCTGAGAGCTTCTTGGCCCGTCCAGGCCCCGCCCTCTTCGCTGACGGTCATTTTGGCCATCCAATTAGAAAGATCTGGCTCAGAGCTCCTGGCGTGGAGGTGGCGTCGTGCGTAGCCAATCAGGAAGGGCAGCAGTCCGGTCACTTCCTGCTTCAGACAGGAAGTCTCCTCAGCCAGCCACGAGCAGATAGAGCGAAAAGTGGCAAACACAAACGGGTCGTCATGACGACTGGGATCCACCTGAGGAAACAGGAAGTGATGTGAGACACACCTCGAGTCAGAGATAAACCGTCTTCGTCATCATCTCACCTGCTGCAGGTAGAACACGACGGCAGAGAAGGCCTCCTCCAGAACTCGGAGAACCTGCCGGCTCTGCTGCAGACTGAGGGCCGCCTGGGGGGAGGCGGAGGAAGGAGGCGCGGCGCCTCCCTCGGTACAGGCCTGCTCCACGGCGGCCTCCATGATCCGGTAACATCCTGCGAGGAGCAGAACTCGGGTTTAACGTGACGAAGCTGCAGGCTCGGTTCAGACGCTCCAGCCGATCGGATCTTCGTGTTCTGGTAAATAAATGTTCTTTCCTGTAATCGAAGCGTTTGGATCAGAACCTGCAGAACCTACCTGTGAGTGTTTGCTGCAGCTCCAGGCTAAGATCTGTCCCAGGCGGTTCTTCCAAACCCATCCTGACCTCCACACAGGCCCGGTTCACAAGCAGGCAGCAGAACTTTGGTGGTCCCACCGGCTCCCACCCGTACAGGTCCAACAAGCAGGCGCTGAGAACCAGAACCGGCCCGATCTGCCGTGGCGTTAACTTGGCCTGCAGCAGAGGCCTCAGTGCCGCCCACACCTGGCTCACGGACCTCCTCAGTTCTTGGCTCTTGGGCACCACCCCTGCTGTGGGCAGGAACCGGACAAGCTGTGCGCACATCCCCAGTCGGGTCAGGTCCGAGGCCCGGCAGAAGTCCCTGGACAGTCTGAGCAGCAGAGCCAGGAGTTCTTCAGGGTGTTTGCTCCAGGCTTTCTCTTTGGTTCTGTCAGAGAGGAGGGCCCCCAGCAGGGCCAGCCCCCTCTGGTAGCTGAGGGTCTGGTTCTGGTCCACTGCCGAGCACAGTGCAGGGACAGCCCCCCTGCTCAGGAGCTGACCCGGGCCTCTGGGTAAGCCACACACAGCCATCAGAACCTGGTAGCAGTCTGTAGCCACGGCTTCATCCAGTTTGGAGGATTTCTGAGCAGCTGCTGATCCGTTTGGATCAGAACCATGGTCACCTGCTGACCTGCTGCTCTCCTGGACTCTGGTGGACTGGTCTTTAGTTTCTGGACTACAGCCAGCGTGGTTCTGCACCGGCCCGTTTGACACCATGTCTAGCAGGAGTGGGACGGTGCTGAGGACCTGGGTCCGGGAGACCAAGTCCGGGTCGGTGCACAGGGCGGCCAGCAGGGCCGTGCCCAGAGAGACCAGGTCCTGGGGGGGCAACCCTGAGCTCTCGCCACCCCGGGCCGCCGTCACCAGGAGCCGGGCCGGGAGGTCCAAACCCACGGAGTCCAAGACTCGCTGCAGCGCGGGTCTGCCGAGCCGGTTCGCCGGGCAGAGGCGGGTTATCTGAGGAGACAGAACCGAACCGGTGCTTCTAAAATCTTTAGCAGAAGCAGATGTGCTGCTGATCACTCACCAGCAGCAGAGCAGCTAGCGTCTCACTGTCGTTCGTCGCGTGTCTGAGCGCGTGCAGACACCTGTCCAACACCTGCCTCTGAGCTCCAGGCCCGGCTCCTCCTGCCTGCTCCTCTTCAGGACTCCTGCTGCTCCGCTCAGGAGGAGCCGGGTCACCATCCGCCATCATAACCCTGGAAACCGGGGCAAACCGAACCGGAACCGCTCTCAGGTCGGTTCACTAAGACTTAAAGACTAAACAAAAACCTCAGGCGGTTTTAATCAAACTTACTGTGACGACAGAGTTGACACGCGCCGCAACAGCTCCCGGAAGTAAACATGAACACAACCCGTCCGCAGCCAATTGGAACCGTCAAACAACGTGAGCCAACCAATCAGAGCAGGGATTGTTGGACGGTGGCGTCGCCATTTTAACCCTCTAGTGACGTACTTCTTTTAAAATTAAGCGTTATAGTTACGGTATTTTAATTATTATATAAACTATAGATTTAAAAATAAAACGACCCTGTTGGAAAAACCGTTACAGTTGAACTCGTTAGCCTGTTCTGTATGGAACACCGAAATGATCAAAAAGAAATAAATAAAGTAATCCTCTTTGATCTGAAGTGACCTGAGCTGATCAAAAAGAAATAAATGAAGTAATCCTCTTTGATCTGAAGTGACCTGAGCGGATCAAAAATAAATAAATAAAGTAATCCTCTTTGATCTGAAGTGACCTGAGCTGATCAAAAAGAAATAAATGAAGTAATCCTCTTTGATCTGAAGTGACCTGAGCTGATCAAAAAGAAATAAATAAAGTAATCCTCTTTGATCTGAAGTGACCTGAGCGGATCAAAAATAAATAAATGAAGTAATCCTCTTTGATCTGAAGTGACCTGAGCTGATCAAAAAGAAATAAATGAAGTAATCCTCTTTGATCTGAAGTGACCTGAGCTGATCAAAAATAAATAAATAAAGTAATCCTCTTTGATCTGAAGTGACCTGAGCGGATCAAAAATAAATAAATGAAGTAATCCTCTTTGATCTGAAGTGACCTGAGCTGATC